AATGTCTTGCGCCGCACTACACCCGCTATACGCGCCATGCACCGCGCGTCACCGCCACAGTGTCACGATGAGTCGCGTCGCGTCGCGTCGCAATATATCGCGTGCGTGATTTAATGCTGCCACAGCGCATGGCGCACCATCAGCATTGGCATACCTTGTCTGTGACAAACAACGCCAGGACAAATTCAACGACAATGCCGAGCAAACGAGTCACACCGTTTATCTTTTCGGCCGCCTCGCATTGCCAAAGCCGCAGTCATTACTTAACTTAAGCGTTCAGCGCTTGAGTGGGAGCGCGCAAGGCATGGCAAAAGAGTAAGTGCAGCTATATTTATGTCTTCTTCTTCTACTTATTGCTGGTTTGTTCTTTGCATAAACAGTCGGCACTCAGCGTTCACTCATATGCAACTAAGTACTAAATTCTATGGTGTAAGGTTAAGTGCAGCACGCGCACAGAAATACTCGAGCATTTTGCGCATTGCGCTTTCCCCACGTTGCTTTGTGGCATTTGTTGCTAGTCATCGCAATAAATTGGATCATTTCAGCAAATTGTTAAACACTCATCACTCACTACACTTAAGACGAGCTTCGACGGCAAGAAAACGTATCGAACGTAATTTAATATGTGAACTGAAATGCAAATACTGCAGAAGCTTTTAGAATAAGTTATGGTAAGTCGTCTTGGATATTCATATGTATAAGAAATGAAGTTTTTTGTCCGAGTTGCTGAAATCCGTCTTTCAAATAAAGTTTAGTTTTAATTTACTAATATAATTTTCAATAAAAAGAGTGCAGCTGTCAATTGTCAATTATTAATGTCAGAGTTTGACAGGACATTGTAAACTGCCAACTGCCAACTGTCAACGGTCAGCTGTGGCATATATCATAATTTGCCCGGACATTGTCAACTGTCAACGGTCAGCTGTTAATGTCATAATTTGACAGGACATTGTCATTTAGCTTTAATTTGACAGCAATTATAAACAAAAGGCTTGGCAGAGTCGGGAAAATGGAACCTAAGAAACTCATTTTTTATGAAGAAACTACTGATTTTCAAACTCTGCCACATTTCTTTCTTCAATTGAAAAATATGTGTTTTCTTGAACTCAGTTATTCGTTCGGAATTGGTCGCTGAAATAAAAGATATTATATTAAGCATTAGTGAGCGGGCTTACTTTAGACGGCTGGGGATTTAGTCATCTCAACGGAACGCTTAGTTAAAATTTGGATATAAAATGGTGATTCGCGCTCTGAGTTCCTGTTTAGTCATACTAGGTCTTAGCCAATGGAGGCAGTATGAGGTCTTCAAGTGAAAAAAATCATATCATAAATTACTATGGACCAATTTCCGAACATAAAGAGCTGCCTCTGTTTTGTCATACTTTCAGTGATGAAAGGGGTGTATATGGTATAGTTACGCACTACCACAGGACCTGAGGAGAGTCTCTACTGTCCCACTTTTAAGGAGAAACTGCTCCTTAATCGCGGTTGCCCTCGGGCGGTTTTATTAAATATTCGAATATAAATATATTTTTGAGGTTAGCTGAAGGGATAGAGGTAGATATTTCTATATTTGGCAAGCTTTGACATTTTACGATTTTCAACTACTCTATCGTTTACAGAAGGCATGCATTTTTCACTTTCCATGCACTAAGCGATACCTGGAGCTAATAAATTAGTAAAATTTTGAAGGAATTTTACAGTTATAACCACGCCCTAGGTAATATTGGGTTTTTCTTTTTTTTTTGAGAAGTTTTTTTGATAAAAGTGACTTCTATGCGGGAAAAAACGAAGCTTCGCAGGCATTTATGATTACAAATTAAATTCATCAGCTGTTTGGGACAGGCTCGTAGGAGCAATTCCGAAACTAAGAGAAGTTGTTCTAGGGTTTCGAATATAGAACGATACAGTATTTCAGAAGTTAATAAAATTTCTCGAATCATGGATATTTGATTTAACAGATGTTTTAACTGTTTTGAAACTACTCAAAAAATAAATTATGTTGAATTTTTCTATGTATTTGTACAATGAAGAAAGTATATTGAGCTTGCCACGAAGTGTGTAACTCCCATGGAAACATCAGTATATGTATATATAACTGATCAGTGTGACGGTTGTTGATTTAGCCATATTCATATCTAATCCCCACTTGGGTGGTAAGGCTTAAGTTTGTCGCATTGAAGTCATCTAACGGTAGGCACAGGACATTGGCGCTGAAAAGAGGTGGTTAGAGTCATGCGGCGACTCATTACACGCAGAACATATATTTCATATGTTCAGGGTCAATTCTGTATAAGTACGAGTTTAATCTGAAGCAGTAATCAAAACAAAGTTGCGCAAGAGTCATTCTCTAGCGGCTTAACTCCAAGTACGCCATTCACTGGGAGGGAGTCGGTAAAGGTGTTAATGGATCCACTGTGAATCGTGGTCAGTGTGTGTTTCTTAGTTTATTAAGCCCGTAGTCTGGTCAGCGTACTGTTCAATGTCGTCGACGTAATCAAGGAGTGTACGTCTGTCTATATACACACAAACTAGTCCTTCAGTTTTTGAGATATCGATCCGAGTTTTCGCACACATCCTTTCCTCCCCAAGAAGCAGCTCAGTTGTGGAAACTGCCAATATCGCACCAATATAGGATATAGCTGCCACACAAACTGATCGATAAAAATCGAAAATTGTATGGACATTATTTTTATTTGACAAATTATCTTCACGAAATTGGGCATAGCGTATTATTCAAGGCAAAGCTATAATTTCCGTAGAAAATTTTTATATCGGGCCACTATAGCATATAGCTGACATACAAACTGATCGCTCAAAATTAAGTCCTTGTATGGAAAACTTTGTTATTTGACTAGATATCTTCACGAAATTTGGCATGCATTTTTATCCAAGGCAATGCTACAATCTCCGCACATATTGCTTAGATCGGACAACTATAGCATATATGTAGATGCCAGATAAAGGTCGTTTTGTACTCTTTGGTGCTATAGAAAATGCATTTGTGGAGGGTAAAGTAGGTTTAGTGCAGTCAAAGTTAACGTATTTTCTTGTTTTCACATAAAAAATCTTTCATATTATTTTTATTTTTTTTAGTTTGAATAAATCGCATTCAAACTGCAAGGCACTGTGAAGCACTTCACTTTACAACATATTTTAAACTTTCTGAGCTGTGTTTTAGGCACATTGCATTAATAATATTTATTTCTGCACATTTGCATCGTAGTAATTTTACTTCTTTTACTTTGCATCTTTTCAATAAATTTGTTGACTCAGCTTTGGTACCACGATTTAACTAAAACCACTTCCACGTTATTAAAAACAAAAAAAAAAAATATAAAAATAACAAAAAATTTAACGCTTATAAGCATTAATAGAACACATCAATATAGTATTTACACGCTTTCAGACATACATAGATTTGTTGCCATTAAACAAGTGTCACGCCAAAGCACGCGAACGTCACCAAATAGAACAGCAAAATAAATAGCTCAACTGTAAACAGAATATAAACAATTACGTATCACAAACACATTAGTAAATAAATAAACGCGTGAATGAAAAGTCAGCGCTGCGCATGCGTGCGAACGATTGCGCCGATCCCGATTGAGTGTGCGACTCGTTGGCCAAAAGTTTACATGCAACCTGCAAAAGAGCAACAACGGATCTGTGTATGTGTGGTAGTCGGTGAGTACGGTCGAAATGCAATTGTGGAAAATAGGTAAAAAATAAAGTTGGCTTTTGCACAGGTGTGTTGGGCGAAATCTTCGCTGGAGGGTTAAGTGTTGCGATCAATGATTTGAGGAATGTTGCAAAACGTCTTTTATATGGTAACTAAATTGGTAAAATAGTTTAGATTGATCTCTCTGTGAGGTCAATTATTTCCTGTACAAACATGTTTGCTGTTCCTACGGGCAGTTCGGTTCTAACCTAAAGCATTTCGAAATTTTTAAAAAGAATCAGCGAGGCTTGTGCTGTCATAACAGATTTAGATCGAAGGCCATCAGGGACTACAATAATCATTGATGAAGAAACTCCAAATGACAAAACCTAACTGTCTAGCTTAGACCGATCCATTGCGGACGAAATTTTCTTAAATACAATCGATCGCTTTCAAGTACTTTAGCTATTTCAGGGAAAAATAAAAAGTTTTCAAAATGCGAGTTTTCTTCACTATCTGAATATCATTTTTACATATTTCTGAAGCTTACTTATATATTTTCTCTAATCAAAACACTAAAAATTTAGATTTTTTGCAACAAAATTTTTTTCTAACACTGTAAGCTTTTGCCTAGGATAAAATATCTCTGTTTTCGCTGTATTCAAGATAAAAGCTTGCAATGCCTAAAGGGGTAGTCTGAAAATCTATTTTTTTTTCATATTTCGATAGATTAAACTTTTAAAGGTACCAAACTTTTAAATCAATATCTTTAATACTTTGAGTTACAGCCTTCTAAAGTGTCGTCGCTCAGTCCAATCGACTTCATCAGTTTATCTTTTACACGTTTTTCTCAAAACTAGATTTTTAAATTTGCTTGAGTGACAAAGGATCCGATCACTTATAATTTTTTTTTTCAAAAATTCAACATTTTTTCTTTAAAGGACGTCATTTTGCCAAATATAGTTTTTTTGAACGTATTTCACTGCATGAACACTATTTTCAGTAGATAAATCTTTTGAAGTTGGAAAAATATTGATTTTTTTAAAAAACAATTTTACAATTAATACAGTAGTTTTTTTTTAACTCAAAAATCGCATTTTTTATGCACTAGGTGTGGCGCTTAATCGAAGAAATGACACAAACGAAGTATGAGACGTAGTGCACGGTTAAATGGCATGATGGCATTGTAATATATATACATATTGTACTATATATATTGTATATACATTATATAACCTCGCACCACGGCTACGTTTCCACACGACACAGCAACAAATTTAATCTAACCTTACTTATTTTCAAACATAATTATTACATAAAAAATCTTCTTTTAACTTACCAGGTTATTTTGGTTGCCTGCATATCACCTTTTATTTCTTATGTTTATCATTTATAAGTATATCGCACGTTTCCCCTCCCACATACTTGATATTTCATTTCCCACGCCTCCTGTATGAAGTCCTCGCTGATAATGTTCGCTGAGCTGCAATGAAAGATCAGTATTAATTACTAAAAATTTGCACTGTTGCAGAGCATACAAACACACACATACCTAATATATCAATCATCAGCGCTAGCACGTAAACTTGACGATTTGCTGTGCCACAACACGTCATCACAATTGTTTACAGCTTGACTCCAAGTGACAACATTAAAGCATAATGCTATACAAACACATACACCCAAAGAATTGCACATGTATATAGATCGCACGCACTCGCGTTACACTCATCCATGTATTCGCACATTGCGATGCGTAACAGCAAGATGCCACAGCTGATGCTTTGATTTCTTGTAGTGCCAGTTAGACTGTCAGATAGCAGCTATGCTACTTGTTTGCTCCATAAACATGATCATGTGTGAAGCATTTTAATCGAATTATAATTGAATAACCTTAAATGGTTGTGCGGCATAAAACGTGCGTTGCATTTAATTGCAACTTGTTCTTTACTCATGCTGTGGCGGGGCACTTGTTGCAGCATCTGTCATTGTTTTGCTTTTCCATGAACACTGATATGTTGGATAGATAACTGTGCTGTTACGCGCCCACTCCTGTACTATATCGGTTTTGTACGTCGGCTGCTCTACAAATATATATATGTATGTATGTACATATGCTGCAGATTGTTGCTGCGTGAGCGCAATTAACTGAATCACCGTTGCAGCATTCCTACGACCAAGCCAAATGATATGAGCTGATATGAATGGGCGTGAAAAACGTTTTATGGTTTATTGATGCGCGCAGTCAACTGCATATATAGATATGCACGTTGCATTTACGTGCTTACTTCTGTTTCGTTTACCAGCCACTTGCCACAATATAAACGAGCTCATAACTTTATAGGATGCGTATTGAAGAAATGTTTGTAGAACACACACAGTTTCATGGAATTGGTTGCAAGAATTTTAAGGCATTTATGTTGCAATTCCGGTTTCCGGCTGCTAACGGTAAACGCTGTGCACAAATAACTGTCGCGCCAAAAAATATGTTTATTTCATTTTAAATGTCAACTCGAAGCGACACCTGTTGTCAAAACTTATTATATACATACATATACACATATATAACTGTTTATGTGCTGCCACATATTTTTTTTTTTGAGAATTTATTCTAAAGACTTATTGCTTTTGTGTTCAGTTTGTTTATTCTTAGTTACAAAAACCAACCGAAAGTTATTCAGTAATCTTTTTTATATTTCTATAAACTCGTAGAAAATATAATATATATTCAATTTTGATTGTTGACACCTAGATCTTTTTGCGAATCAACGAAATTGCAATAATTCAACGGGCGTGCCATCTAGCGACTGTTGCTTTAAAATTTAATTATTTTTTAACGCATACACCTTTTTCCTTGATTTTTTATTAATATTTAATCGAATAAAATTATAATTAATTTATTGATAAATATTTACAGATTTTTAAATATATAAGATATGCAGTTAACAATTTATATAAGAAATTAAATTTAAACATCGTAAAGCTGCCGTGTGTGAGCACGCTGTAATATTTCGTGCAAATAATTGCAACCCTACGTTTTGTGCAAACCCTTTTGTATTGTTTTTCTCGTAATATTTGCCGTATCAAAGTGCCGCGTTAATTTTTTTTATTTATTTCTAATAAGTTCACCGAGCAAAAACCTTCACAGTAGCTTATGACTTTAAAACGCATCGAAGCAGCTTGTTGATTACTTGTATAATACAGTGTGAGGCATATAATTATTTGCAACAATGGTGGACCTCGAAATGGTAGCTGCGCCAGCAGAGACTGTTGTAGTGGACAGCAGCACTGGACTCTGCCGCCTATGTCTGCGTCACGATAAAACAATTGTGAATATATTTGAGGAAGTACCAACACCAGCAGAGGAAAAGTCGTCGCCTGGGACTGAAACGCCCCCGAACAAAATTAATATGGTTGAGCGCTTATTTGACTTATTGGGTGTAAAGGTTTGATATAAAAAATACGTTTCGTATACAGCACATTAATAAATTGGCTTTTTCAACTAGTTTCAACACTCAACGGCCTTGCCGAGTCACATCTGTCAAAGATGTTTTGCCATGGTAGAGGCGTTTACTAATTTCCGTGAAAATGTACAGAGATGTGAGACTGAATTGCAGCGTTGGTTGGCAGAAAACTACAAAAGCGCAACAAACGAGGATGAACAACGACCAGGCCTCAATGGTAATCCGGGCAATTTCGAACCCGAAGACGATTGCGTAATTACAGAGATTGATCCCAACCAGGATTATGAAAGTTCAGAAGATGAATTTTCTATGGAATCTGATTCGGAAACTGAAGAGCACACGCCCTCTGCGACGCAAACTTCAATTATTGCTGAATCTAATTTAGCGCAGCATGATTTTAATAACTCCGCAGTGGCGGCTAAGTCAGCAGCTGATTTACATAATGCTGAAAATTCACAAACTGCAACGGATGTGTCTTCCTCCTTTGCTGCTCTACCAGCCAACGACTCGTTTATTGGTGGCGAGGTAGTGATCAAAAACACATATCTTTGTCAGTATTGCGACATGGCATTTACAACACAAGCTGAATGTCAAGAACACGAGTCACAACACGACAGTGCAGCGCCATATGTCTGCAGCTTCTGTTCACAACGTACATCCAGTCGCCAAAATTTGATTTATCACATCAAAGAACTGCACGATCCGGAACGACCGTATGTTTGCGCATTTTGCAAAAAAGGTTTCTGTCGACGTTCCGATCTGAAGAAGCATACAATTGTGCACACCGGTGTGCGTCCATTCTCATGTCCCGTCTGTGCAAAGAGTTTCTCACGCAACACTAATTTGACGAAACATATACGCATACACAGTAGCGTAAAGCCACATGTATGCACGCGCTGCCCACGTTCCTTCTCCAGCGCACCCGAATTAATGCGTCACATACGCTCGCATACAAATTCGAAACCATTCCAGTGCAGTCGCTGTCCAAGCGCTTTCGCGCGTAAGGATAAACTACATTTGCACGAACAGACGCACTACCGGCGTGATGCCGAATTTTTACACCAACAGAATAGTGGTGCTGGTGCGCTAAAAACAGAAGATGGTAACAACAGTATGGGACAGACAGAAAACTTGGTAGTGTCACTCAATCCGTATGGTGACGCCGACAACGCGTCGTCACAGCCAAATATGTCATCACCGCAAGATCAGTATCGTCAGCATAGCATACTGGCAGCGCAGTTGCAACAACGACCGTCAATGCCGAAGCCGCCACCGCCGCACAAGCCATCACATTCACGCTCCTTCACCTGCACGATTTGCCAGAAGACATTTACACGTGAACGCGATTTGCAACGCCACCAGGCGCTACATCTGGACACGCTATTTACGTGCAAGCAGTGTGGCACCGGTTTTAATCGACGCGAAAAACTCGCGCGGCACGAATTGGAATTCCATGCACCACAATATCCCTGTGACGTTTGTCGCATGCAATTCTCTAAACACGATGAATATGAAAGACACATGAAAATGCATGAATTGCAACAGACTGCGACTATTGCCACACAGGCAGCTATTAGTGCGGCATCGGGTGTGCCCGGCGCGCCGTCAGGTAATATTTTGGGTTTAGCTGTCTCTGCCAACACTGCCGGTGCCTTGAATTTGGTGACAACTGCAGCTAGCCCTGCCGGCAGCACGCATCAAACCATTTCCGCATCTAAAGATTTGTCAGGCACGCAGCAACGACCCACCGCTGCCGATATGTCTTTCTACAGCCAATTGGTGCCTACCATGAATCTTGGTTTCTACAGCGAAACGCGCCCTGAAGATCGCAATGGCATATAGGCAAGTGGTTCGTAGCGTCGCTACACAACGCATTTACATACTTACAACTTCATAGGCAGTACGTTGAGCCGTTAAATATAATAACTAGACATAGACAATTTATTTGCGCGGATATTACTAAACACAATCTACATTTAATTTATACATAAATGTGTATGTTTCTACTGACATATATACATTGGATACATATACATATGAACATGAAATAAATAACTCAAAATGCCATAAAATCGGTGCAAATCAAAATATATTCACATACTAACATTACTCACAATCAACTCACGTCAGTAAATCATTTGTCAGTAAACCATTTAGCAAAATTAGCATCTTGACACAGAAACCTCTTGTTTTGACGGGTGAGTACAATTTAACTGAATTTTTTTTAATTAAACTGGTTGTATTGGGTATCGCCGAAATTCGTCGCAAGTAATTATAATAACTATTTTACGTACGAAACAGGGGCAATCAAAACTAATTCGACTAATGTTTTTATAGTACAAATACAAATATAAATATGTGTATCATCTGTGCAATTTCCTTGCTGTTGAGCGTTACTTCACAGAGTTGTTGATATTTGTTTAATTTTTTTTTAAATAATATATGTCCTTATATCAAATATATACAACGCATTATCTTATTTTTGTATATTATTAAAAAAAAAAAAACACCATTTATATAATTTCTTTATTACAATTAAAAGTAAACGGTACGATTTGCTCACCTTCGTAAGGTTAAACTGAAACTTGGCTAAACAACAAAATACACGGAAACCAGCACAGTGTGTCTCTGCTAAATATCAAACGCAGGGTGTCTTTGTTTACATGTTTATTATTTATTATATTGTATAGCTGATTTATAATATATTTGTTCGCTTTGTTTTCATGAGTTTTTAAAAGTATTGGTTTTTAAGTAAGATAATGTGATAATTATGAAACTGAGCTTCTAGTAAGCATAAGTATATAATTGTTTTTGCACTAAGGAATGCGATACAAGGCCATGAGGTGGCCCTTGCAAAACCTTTTGATCATGTGTATACATGTAACCCATTTACTAAAATAAGTTGGATATTGCACGTAAGTACATATATCGTAAGGTGATTATAATTCGATTTCAGTTAAAATTACTGACTCCTCATCAAAAATTTTTACATTTGCTTAAACTCTTGGCCGTATTTTTGTGCTTTGACTGACTGAGATGAAGCGCTCGGATTTTGTGACGTTGGGTCTTTTAATGGTTGGAAGAGCCGTCAATTTACATCGCTCAAATTGTTTCGCTTCGAGTAGTTTGCTGATAATGAGAAGGGTATTCAGCTTTGTAGCTGGCGTCTATCGGGTCGTAAACATTGTCGATCTGAGTTTGAGCGTATTCTAAAAGTTCTTTGATTCCCGGTAAAAGAGGGTATGCTCTCATTGAACTGAGTGATAGAATATGAATGTCAACGTTATCTCACAGACGTGCTAATGGATGCACATTGTACCTATGGTATTCCATCGGCAAAAAAGTTAATCCCATTTTATCTACTATTGAAATATCGTATATTCTTATCATAGTGGTTGATTTCATTGTGGTCGATTTCATTGTGGTTGATTTCATTGTGGTCGCTTTCATTGTTGTAGATTTCATTATGGAAGCTTTAATTGTGTTAGGTTTCATTGTGGTAGATTTCATGGCCGCAGACTTCATTGTGGTAGATTTCATCGTGGTAGATTTGATTGTGTTGGACTTGAGGCTACCTAAAAAGCTTTAAAGATACAAACCCTTATTTGGTAGAGGGAAGTTTTGCTTAAAGCTCATATATTAGATACATTTAGATAATTCAGCAAAGCTATTTTTCATATCTGAAGCTTTACAAAACTTTAGTACAAGATATTTGGAAGATAAATAATAAAGATAAATGGCAAAGCCATTTTCTTTACATTAAGGGGTAATAGTAAGGGGTAAAACTAAGGGGAAATATTTAACATTTCTTCTGCAGAATCCTGTTTGGAAAAAAGTAACGGTGAACTGAAATATTTTGGTTTTTCCTACGGCTTTAGGTATGCAGACTCTACGATTTGATAACTGAAATTCCTCATAAGTAGAGCTACTTTACCTTTTAAAATTCGGGTTTATTAAGTAGTTCCATCGTAAATATATCTCACGAGTGAATTGCTCTGGAGATTCGGTTATTTTGATGTCTGGTGTCGATCCGGAATGGCTTAGGACGATGGTTGATTCATTTAAGAACCAATGCTTTACTTTTTGCCATTCAAAACTCCAATTCCTCCTTCGTGTTTGCATCTACAGCGCTTATGCATTACCTTCTGCTTTTATAAATAACCCATCACCCCTTTAAAAAATTTGTCGTAAGTGCACATAAGCCTTTGGGTATCTGTTTGTAGCGCTCTGTTCTAATGGTATCTTTGGTTACGTGTTTTCTCTACTTCATTGGCTTACCTTTTTAATCCTAATGACTTCCAAAAGCAATTTTTGGTTTGTGTGTTAAATAAATTAAGTGGAAAATTGTAATTCCACACACAAACGCGGAGGAAGTCTGAAATGACTGTTCTGAGGGAATATGTAGCTGTGCTCACTTTTATGATTACTTGGAGCTAGTAATTGTGGCACACTTAAGCAACTGTTGATCCACCAGCAGGTGCTTATATGTAGGCTTAATGTGTTTAGCTACAATTTTTATGGGTGAATGTGTGTTCAAGGGTGAGCGGACTGTTCTTAACTTATAGTGTTTTTTAGTATTTTGGGAGTCAATAGATTTGGAGTCAATAGATTTTTTTATAAGCCGGTATGGTAAATTTCAATTTCGGGATCCAATTTCGAGATCCCGAAAATTTTCGGATCTACTCGAGATATTATTGTATATAATGATAATCTTAAACAAAACAGTTCGAATAATTTAATTTGGTTAGTTGAGGTGTGGGTTTGGTATAGTTGGGGTAAATATTATTGCGCGGACTTAGGAATTCTAATAATATTTCGGGATCACGACAACAATATTTATAATACACAATAATATAGAGCGTTTGCTTATAAAATTGTGGAAACTGTATCAGGTTTTAAATAACGATTTATCAAGCGTTTTGGAATTGGTATATCGTTTCGGAAACTCGAAAATATTTTTAAAGTTTTATTAAACAACTTAGTAATATTTCGCGTCTGCGACAATATTATTTTCTATTATAGTATGCTTGTTTGTAAAGCTGTGAAAAATTAAGCATCTTTCAGATTACGGGATTTGTTTAGTGTTTCGGGATGCCGAAAATATATTTGAGAATTTATTAAATGATTTGGTGACATTTCGGTATTGCCACCACAGTATAAATCTATTGACATTTATAGCAATTTTTTTTAGAGTTGAGAAAAATGTAAAATATTTCAGATTTCGGCATATCGCAAATATTTTTGAAAATTTATTAAAAGACTGGTTAACGTTTGGTGATTGCAACATTACTATACATTTATTTGTCATTATAGTATATTTTGTTTATAGAGTTGAATTTTTTATGCTTAAAATTTCGGGATTGGTGCAGTGTTTCGGGATCCCGAAATTCTTTTTTAAAATTTACGAATTTAAATTTCGTAGATTTGGCAGAAATTTAGCTTAATTTAGATTTCGCAATTGGTGTACTCTTACGGGATCTCGAAAATGTTTTTGTAAATTTACTAAAAAAATTAATATTTTTGTATGAATTTCTATACATTTTTCGTACATACTTCGTTTTAGTCCACAAAATTTCGATACCCTGATGAAATGTTACGAGATATCAATCACAGTTTTTTTTTGTAAATAATGAAATTTAATATAAAATGTTTTAAAATTAAAATTTTTTTTTAAATTACTTTCTGTGTGTGTTTTTCGTTTGGTGCTTCTGTGTTTAATTATTTTCGTTTCGTTGCATTTCACAAATAAACACACACACATACATACTTACGTGCATATTGCTTCTATAAAACATAAATATATTTTCTACGCCTTATAACCGTTAGCAATTTGCCAAAAATTATTGTATGTTTTTGATTTGCTAACTATTCATGCATGTATTGGCGCTTATTGCAAGCACTAACACTAACATAGCCGCCGTTATTGCCTTGCATTGACCATGTCAGTTGCATTTGGCATTAAAGTTCGATATAAAGACTATCTAAAATTGCGTAATTTGCATTTGGCATGCTTCAAGTATTGCGTATTGAAGATGCGGCCTTTCAAGGCTATCCGAAAGCTAACGATTTACATAACTGTATAACTGTATAACTGTTTGTGTGTGCATCACTGCCTTCAGCACGCTTAGTTACACGCTACACTACAGCCGGCGCACTGGTGTAAAAGTGAATTTTTTATAGCGCCACCCTTGCATGGGCACACTGTAGTGCTCAGAAACTTTTCCACTCGAACTTCGTGCGCATTCGTTTGTTCGTTTGCGATTTCAATTACATTGGCACAGGCAGCCAATTGCACTAAACTTTACTGGCGACTAAACAAGTTTGTAGCTTTGTGTTTATACAATTTTTCTATAATTTTTTTTTTTTTTTTTTTTGTTTGCTTGCAAGCGCATCCTTTCGAATCTTTCGTGTGCCCACTAGCGCTACATTCGTGCGCTCCAACCACTCTTTTACCCGCTCCACTCAGCGCCGCTACTTAAACAATATTCTCTACACAGACAACTTTTGTGCCGCATGCAATGGACGCCTTTCCAATTTTTGAACTTTCCATGCAAATCTAAAGAAAAAAAAAAAACAACAACAGTAACGCGGAAAGCGTAAAAAAGTGAATATTTTATTAGCAACAATAACAATACAGCAACGCGCGCACGTCGCGCTTGTAAATGGTAAAAAAATGCCAACGCTGGTAATTTCAGACTTCCGGCAAATCTTTATGCCTGTAATCCCACGTATTACAACGCGCGCCTCCGCCCCGCCCTAGAGATTGCCACCGCAAATGCGATTCTGACAGCGCCACAGCGCCACACGAACTTTGAAAGCCGCCTTGCCGTCTTCTTGTAGAGTTACTTTCGCGCGCGCAGAAAAAAAACGCAGAGTTTAAAGTTCTTTTTTCACAACTTCAGCTTGACGTTGCAAACGAGCAAAGCGTAAATAGAAAAGCGCCAATACCTAGAAGACAGGATGAAGCTGTGAGCGACGGAGTAGCGCGCCATGAAACGCGTGGCATACGGCGCGGCGCGGCGCGTTCGCTTGTCGCCTCGTTGTCGTTGCTTGCTAGTTGAGTATTTGGCAGGTGTGGCGAAGGTGGAAAAAAATTGCAAAAAAAAAAACAAAAAATTTAGAAATAAAAAACTTACAACAACAAAAAATCATCAACAACAAGCTTTGCCTGCATGTTGGTGTGGCCATCGTGCGGTCTTGTCTATACAGACTGGTCAGTCGGCTACCTTGTTGTCCTGTCAGCGCCACCAGACAGCCATGCGCCGGGGCAGTAACTGCATATCACCGCGTTTGACTGTTGTCTGTTCACGTTTTGTTTTAATTTAATTTCCGTACAGCAATTTTTTGTTTGTTTCTTATATATTTTTGTTATTTTCTTGTTTGCAACTGTTGTGTCTAAGTTGCCGTTATTTCTATATTATAGCAATTTCTCATTTTTAAATACAAAAGCATTTGTTATTTATTTTATTTTGCGGTCGAATGTGCACATTAAATAGAAGCTGCGGTCTAACCGCCTCGTAATGCTGGCCCTTAGCACCTTCAAGTGCATAACTACTTGTGGCAAGGCACTTCAATGCATTTTTTTTTTTTGGTGCACGAAATAGTGGGCAGCCTTCGTTGTCTGCAGACGGCTTTAAATTGCTTTTTATTAGACGAGTGTTTTTGGGGGAGCGTGGGGGGAGGTGTTGAACTTTCTTTTCAAGGCCAC